GCCGTTTGGGCAGCCCCTGCGTCCATCCCTCGCTCAGACACTGCCTGCCCGGGGCCCTGACCCTGGGCCCCACAGCAGTGAGCGGCTTCCAGTTAGAGAGCCTGCGGGGGGCCTCCCGGCCAGGGCCACGTTTCCCCTTTTCTCTGATGGGAACTTCCTGCTCCCCGGAGTTGCTGCGTTTTTTTATGGTGAACTCGGGTGCTACAGGTTCCTTCTTCCTCCAGGACCCCCAACAAGTCCCAGAGCGTGGGCCAGGGGTCCAGGGCCCATCCCCGCCCAGGGTCGTGCCCGTGCCCACTCAAAACTCACTGGAGCCAGAAGTCCTGAGACTGCCAGACATGGCCAGCTGGGCCGGGACCCTTGTGCTGTTGTCAAGGTGACATTAGGTGCCCTCAGCACGACTTTCCCTCAGGCTCGTGGGACACGTGGAGTGACGCCTGACCCAGCGATGGCCTGGAGGTCCCGAGGGCTTGCGGCTGGGGGGACGGTTCCCTGACCCGGCCTGACCCAGCTGCGGCTTCGCTCAGAGCAGCCCACCTCCTTGCGGGGGAGGAGGGGCTGCCCACGGCAGGGGCACGGGTGGCTCCACGCCACCTGGGCTTACCCCGTGGGAGGGGACCTGACCCACACAGCACCTTCTCAGGTGAGCACCCTAGCGGGCGGCCACGGACGCATGTCCACAGGGACGTGAAATATGGGCGTCTCATCGGGCCGCCTCGACAGAGTGGAAAGGGATACAACACAGGGCTGCCCTTGAACCCTGATATCCTCACGCAAGCAGGAAATTCACTTCACAGTCATGTCAACGGGCGCCGAAAGTCTGAGGAGTAACAGGGCGTTTATCTCAACGAGACACACACTCATCACGAAAGGAAAACAGTAACTGCAGCGGAGGACGGGCCAGTCACCCCTCGGCCTAGCGATCCAAGGGGCATTGCCGGGAGTGGAACAAACCAAAGTCGCCGAGAGGAAGCCGCGAGAACAGGCCTCTGTGAGATTCCGGCCAACAGGGCAGCATCTGAACCCACCCACGAGGCCGCGCCAGGCACCCAAGCAGGGGGCCACGCCACCACCTAACGCCCCACACTGTTCCCAGAAGTCCCATCAGGAGATGCCAGGGAAGGCGGAAGAACGTTCCGGACGGCAGGAGCAGAGAGAGGCTGGAGGCTGAGTCAACACAGGAGCCCAGGCCTTCCTTTGCTATCGGGACATTACGGCAAGACCGGCAAAATCTCGGTCAGGGCCACTGCCCATCCGCTAGCAGCACCGCCCCCGGGTAACCCCTGCCCCCGCGAGGCCCACGTGCTCCCGGAGAGGCCGTTCTTGTCTTCGGGGAACACCCACTCGGGGGCCACAGGCCCGCTCTCAAACGGTTCCGGGAAAAATAGCTGGAGAGGATAAAGGTAACGTGGGAAATCGTTAATAATGGGGGCAGTCTGGAAAGTTAAAAATAAATCATTGTCAACTTACATCTCAATTTAAAAAGTCATTGCCAAGGCCGAGAGACAAGGTGGAACCATAAAAGGACTGAGCTTGGAGTTCCAACCCGGAGCCTCCCACTCTGTGGCCTCGGGCTGGTCTCGGCAGCTGTAACTGGAGGCTGATCATCCTGTCCCTTCCTTCGCGGGTGACCAGTGAGTGAAGGAACAGGACAGTATTTTGCAAGAGCTCAGCCGCATCTCACATGAGATACAATTTCCCTGAGGATGATAAAGTCGAAGCTGCCCTGCCCAGGCCGGGTAGTTCAGTTGGTTACAGTTTCGTCACCCTACACGCAAGTTGTGGGTTCAGTTCCCGGTCATTCTTCATATTAACACATTGTATGCGGGAAACTTTGTATTTCTATGTTTTACGTTGACTGGTAGTAGAGCGCGTGATAAAAACTACCCGCAAACCATGTGTTAAGAATCAACCAACGAATGCAAAAATAAGTGGACCGACACATCGATGTTTCCCTCCTTTCCTCTGTCTCTAAAATCAATCAGTCAATAGAAATACAACAAAAACAATAAAGTCTAAGCTGCCCTCCTTCTCCAATGAGAAATACAAAGTTTCTCTGCAGAGGCCGCCACGATGGGGCCCTCGGGGCAGGCGCTTCCCGGGCGGGGGGCTGTGCGCGGGCTGGGTTCTCTCCAGCCTCCTGCTGCGCGCGGCTGCAGTCAGCTGGATAGATGCTGTTTTCACTTAACGCTGAGTCCTACCATTAGCAAGATGACGTACGGAGTTCACAGACAGCATTGGCTGCGTGACATTTCCGGCGGGGGCTGGGGTCTGTAGCTTACTGCTCCCTGTTCCGTGGACGTGGAGACTGCCCTCAAACTCTCCCCCTGGTAACAGTGCCTCACGAACTCCCTCTCACATGAGGCTTTGCGTGCATTTTGGATGACCTCCTTAGACGAGGTCTCTATAAATAGGGTCACTGGGTCAAGGGGTGTGAACCAAATACTTCCCACATGGGTTATTCTAATTTACATAGCCAAGAGCAGTGTAAGGAAAACACCAGTTCCTTTGGCATTTATCACGCTCGTATTCTGCCTTACTTTTTTTTCTTAATTTAATGAGGAAATGATAGCTCAATGTTATGACTTGCATTGTTTTGACTACTAACGGGGCAAACTTTTTTCCCCAATATGTATTTACCAACTTTTACTGTGTTGTCTGAACGCGGCCTTGGTTCACTTATCAGGATATTGGTCAGTTTTTAAAAAAAGCAATTCCTAAAAGCTCTTTACCGAATACAGACCGATACACCCTTTTGTGGGGTCACATTATAAAATACTTTCCAAGACTGGAAGGTTGGAAGCAGTGGGCCGACCTTCGGTTGTTTGAAAGGGTGACAAGGTGCAGCAGTGCAGCCCACATCTAAGGATGCGACTTCTCCCCGGGACGGGTGCGTCTGCAGCAGTGAACTGACTCTCCGAAGACGGACGGTGGGGCGTGCTCAGTGAGGTTATTAGCCACACAGTCTGGGGGCACCTAGGTCGACAGGTCTCACCCATTCTCTCCGTCTAGCAAAATGTGAGCGCTAACTTCTGAAAGGGAATAAATCATAAAGGTCCCTTTCTAGCTCGGGCACAGGTATTTTCTTTTTTTTTTCTTTTTTAAAATATTTTTTTATTTTATTTATTTTATTTTTAGACAGAGGGGAAGGGAGAAAGAGAGGGAGAGAAACATCAATGTGTGGTTGCCTCCCACGCGCCCCCTACTGGGGACCTGGCCTGCAACCCAGGCATGTGCACTGACTGGGAATTGAACCCAGAACCCTTTGGTTTGCAGGCCGGCGCTCATCCACTGAGCCATACCAGCCAGGGCTCTTTTTATCTTTTACGAAGCAGGTGGATCACATTCAACAAATAAAATGAACAATTTACATTTTTTTATGGCCAGCAGGGGACACGCAGACTTGCTTAGGGGGCCTTTCCTAAAGAATCGCAGAACGCCCCCTCCCTGGGAGGTGCACAGAAAGAACTCCCAACTCCGGCTTCTCGGGAAGGTTGTGGTTTCTACAGGAGCTGCACCAGGTCTATCTTCATCACTTACGAAACATACTGGATTCAATCTTTTTAAAAAGAGGGGGGAAAGAGAAGAGAGTCTTGCAAAGAAAGTCTCGGGCACCTTCTCGAGTACACGTGAACTCGGGTGTACACGCTACCCACACCCAAGAAGCCGGCCGAGGACCAGGTCTCAGAAGTGGACACAGGTCAGGTGGGAGGCTCTGCGGGGAGGAGAGGCACCCGCGCTTTCTGTGGGTCCCTGCAGCATCCGGGGCACTGTTGGAATGGCTCGCTTCAAATCCCACCTGGACAGCTGAGAAGCAGGACGTTGAGCTTCCCAGGGACCAGCTGGCCCCCGGCCAACAGCTCTGAGAAGAGGTCAAGTGACTCTTGCAATCTTGTGACCTCACTGTTGTGACATCCAGGCGACCTGTCTCTACTAAAGTGCTGACTGTCCTCAGGCTTTGGAAGGCACTCAAGCATATCAGGGAGAGGGCCTATAATTAGGACAGTATTTGGTGCTCTTATCTGGGGAGGGAGAAGAGGGAATTCACCCTCCGAGATTCCAGCCCCGGTTCAACACAGGACGGCGCCAGATGCCTGAATCTTGATACTACACCCGGAAGGGGTCAACCCTCTCCCTCAGGTGAGGGGTAGTGATGCGATGCTTCGATATCAGGGCAGGACAAGCCTTTTGTTTTCCCTGTTCTCGGGTATTCCAGGCAGCTGGTGGCCCTGGTCCAGAGCAGCCTCTGCCATGACCTCAGCCTCAGAGTTGCTCAACTCTAGAAAGCTAAGATCATCTAGAACACAGACAACAACAGACAGGGGCCTGAAGTCTAGAGACGAGCAGAGAGAAAATGGAGAAGACGATCTTTTGTACATTTCACAGCCGAGGCACCGCCTTTGGCAGAGGGCTGGAGAAACCGGCAGCGCGGGAGTGGCTGCACGCACCACGCCTGCGCGCACCGCTCCTGCGCGGGGTGCGGGTGGTGGTGCCGGCATGGGGTTGGGAGCTGCCAGGCTCTTCAACCTGGGGCAGCCACCTAACTCATCTCCCCAGCCTGGGATCCAGGTGCTTCTCCCTCTGTGCGGCACAGAGGGCCGGGACGAAGTGAAGTCGGAGCCAGAGAACCCAGAGCGTCCTCCTCAGATCTCCAGCTGCATCTAAGCTACCAGGGCCGAGCTCTAAGGGCGAGTTCTGGCCTCCCTCCCTCCAGGAGTGAGCTGAGGCGCCCACCTCGAGGAGGCTTGAGTGGGGGCAAGCAAACAGAGGCTTCCCTCTGCAGTGATGCTCAGGACGGGCCCACCTCTCGGGCAAGCCTGACATGGTCCCGCTGACCCTGGGGAGTGAGCAGACACTGTCTGGCAGGCTCCCAGCCAGGGATCCAAGCAAGACGTGGGCACCAGACCGGCGTGAGGGCCACAGGGGCAGCAGGCAGGGCCCAGGCGAGAGGGTGGGGCGGGGAGGGGGTCTCCAGGAAAGTCAGCGCCGCGGCCACCCACCTGACGACATGGAAGGCCCAGAGCAGGAGTCCCCCGTGTCCACGCGTGGCACGGACGATGCTGAGGTACAAGTAGAGGGCGATGGCCACGGTCCAGAAGAAAGAGCTAGTGTTGGCGAAGGTGGAGAGCGCGCCCTGCAGCACGCAGTCCCACGAGGGGCCCGAGAAGTCCTGTAGCACCCCGTAGAAGTAGGAGACGGCCGACAGCAGGTCGGCCAGCGACAAGAAGAGCAGCAGGCGCCGCGCTCGGCTGCGCAGGTCGGGCCACAGGGCGTGCGTGGCCACCAGCAAGCCCGAGCCGAGCGCGGAGAGCACGCACGACAGCAGCACCACGGCGCGTTCCGACGGCATCAGTTCCGTGGGCGGCGCGGGCGGCGGCATGGCTGGGCGAGGAAGGGCCGGGCTGGGGCCGAAGAGCGCGGGCGCCGCGCGAACAGAAGCTGGACTGCCCGTGCGGCCGCCGCCGCCGGCGAAGACTCGGTACCGAAGCGCCCAGGGCGGGCGTCCAGGGCCCTCCGCGCCCCGCGAGCCTCTGCCCCTCGCCCCGCCCGCGCCGCAGGGCTGGGCTCCAGGCCCCGCCCACGCCCTCACGCCACGCCCCTGCGCCCTCTGCGCCTCACCCTTCCGGCCCCCGCGTCCCGTCTACGACTCCTGGCCCCGCCCTGGCCCCGCCCCTCTCTTAGCCCCGCCCACACGCCCGCGAACGCTCTCTAGCCCCACGCTCCTGGCCCTCCATGCTTCATCCCGGGCCCCGCGTCTGTCCCGTCCGCGCTCGGGCGTGGGGACGTCCTTAACACTGGGGACAAAAACCACTCTGGACGTGTGGTCCTCCTCCCCTGACCAGCGGGGCAGAGCGCTCGCAGGCCCGCCGCGGGGCCACTTCCGGAAGGGGGTGTGGACACGTTTTCTTACAAAGAGCGCCCTACTGTAAAACATCCAGCCTTGGGGGGTGTGCTTGTTTTAAAGAAACAGTTCCGATTTATTGGTTTTGTGCGTCATGTCTTGTTCTTGTGACGTCACTTGCATACCAGGAAAGCGGCACTTGGGAGTGTGCAATACACATTCCCAAGGCCGTGCGACCGTCGTCCTGGCCGAATTCCGCACCACGGCCGGCGCCCCCCAAAGAGACCCCGTCGGTGGTCGCCGCCCGTGTCTCCCTGCCGGGGCTCCTCGGCGACCACCGACCTGCCTTCTGCATCTGGTTCGCCTGCTCCGAGCAGTTCGCGCAGACGGATCCGACAGCAGGCGGACCGGCCTCTGTCCTCCACCGTGTGTTCTCGAGGCTCGGCCTCTTTGCAGCGCGTGCCAGCGCTGCACCCCTTTTCTCGGCCAGACAGTGTTCCCTGGGGTGGACAGGCCGCGTTAGTTCTTCCATTCGTCGGCTGATGGGCCGTTTGCGTGCCCAGTGTTTGGCTGTTATGAATGATCCTGCTATGAACATTCGTGCACAAGTTTTTGTGTGTTTTCAGTTGTCTTGGGGTGAAATTGCTGGGTCACAGGGCTGCTCAGTGTTTAACTCGGTGTGGCTGCACCGTCTTATACCGCCACAGCGATGTGCGAGGAGGAATCCGGTCGTTTCTTCTCCTTCTCCTAACACTTCATTATCTGCTTTTTGGTTCCCACCATCCTGGTGGGTGTGAAATGGTGTCTCATTGTGGCTTTGATTTGCATCTCTGACTACAGTGTGGGACACCTTGTCTTGTGCTTATTGGCCATTTGCATGTCCTCTTTGAAGAAAAGTCCATTCAGTTCTCTTGCCTATTTTCTGAGTTTATCTTTTTGTTACTGAGTCATAAGAGATCCTGATATATTCTGAATACTAGAAATTTATCAGACTTACACATTTTTTTTCTCCCATTCTGTAGGTTATCTTTTCACTTTCTTTTTAAAGTTTTTTAAAATTTTTATATTTTTACTTTTAGAGGGAGGAAGGGAGAGAAACATCAATGTGTGGTTGCCTCTCACAGGCCCCCTACTGGGGGCTTGGCCCACAACCCAGGCATGTGCCCTGACTGGGAATTGAACTGCTAACCCTTTGGTCCACAGGCCGACACTCAATCCACTGAGCCACATCAACCAGAGTCCTTTCCACTTTCTTGTGTCCTTTGAAGCACAGACGTTTTCATGTTGTTGATGTCTTCTGCTGCTGGGCTTTTGCTGTCACATCTAAGAAGCCATTGCCCAACCCAGATCAGGACGATTTGCACCTGTGTTTTCTCCCTTGCCCGCGCCTCACTGTTTTGGTTACTGTAACATTGTAATAAGTTTGGAAATCCGGGGCCAACGTTGTTTCTCTTTTTCTGTATTGTTTTGGCTGATTGGAGTCCCTTGCAATTCCTATCAATTTGATTAGCTTTTCCATTTCTGCAAAAAAAAAAAAAAAGCCTGATGGGATTCTGATAGAGATTGTGTTGAATCTGTAGATAAACTGAGGGAATAATGCTATCTTAGTGACTTTAAAACTTATCCGTGTGCACGGGACGACTTCTCACTTAATTAAGTCATCTTTCATTTCTTTCATTGATGTTTTGTAGTTTGTGGTGTACATTAGATTTGATTTTGCATCTGAGCCATAAAAAGGCAGATTATCATAGGCATAGATGATCTTCTGCACCTAACTTTCAAAAATCACTGTATTATGAAATATGCATACTACAAAGTGCCTAAAATACAACTCTGCGATTTAATAAATAATTATAAAGCAAATACACACCCAGAGCAAGAAATAGTAACATGACCAGCACACCAGAAACCTCTCCCCAAACCTCTTTTTTCCTCTGTCATTTTTTTGCTTTTTAAAAAACCATTCATGCATGCATCCCTTAACAGAACAGTATAGTTTGCCTGCCATTGCAATTTCATGTAGATGGAATCATACTCTGTGTTACCTTTTGTGTCTTCTGTTTCTCACACAACATTATTTATGTGAGATTCATCCGTGTTCTTACCTGAGGTTGCCGTTCATTCATCGTAATTGCTGTACAGTTTTCCATTATATAAATAATATGGTTATGCACCCTGCTGTGTTGGACATTTGGGTTGTTTCCAGGTTTCAGCTATTGTCAGCCATGCTGGAATGAGCATATTCTTTCTTCATCAGGCAAATAGTTACTAAAAACAACTCTCAGCGGTTCGAGCAAGCAGACCGTGGACTTGGCCCTCCGGAGAGCCGAAGAGCAGCTGCCCCCTTTCCCAGTCACTTCCAGAAGCTGCTGACCTCCTCCTGAGCAGACCCCAGGCCGCAAACAGACCCCAGCTGTCCATGAGGCCTCTCGGCTTTTTATTGCAGTGAATAGCTTCAAGCTTGGATATTGTGCAACTAGCCCTGGTCTTTGGAACATGGCTGGGCAAGAGCCCGGAATGGACTTCCTCCCCAGATCATAGTCATGTAATCTGCAGGGTGTTTGGGGAAGAGAGAGGGACAGAGAGCTCTTCTGGCAAGCTGCTGTGTGGGCAGATCGAGCCTGAATCTCTCTCCTGCTTTACTGAGATGAAAGCACTTTGTCCACTTCCCCGGGTGAGCGGCTGCCTATTGTACAAGGCGAGTTTGATCAGAAGATCGCTTGGTTTTCTTTGCACTGGAAAAGAGCATTCAAAGAACATCCCACTGCTAGGGGGGAAACATGGGAAAGATACGTGATGACAGAGCTTCAGATCGCTTAGATCTGAGCTTGAAGCGAGCTCCCCACAGTCCGAGGCACGGGTGTGGCCCCGAGAGGCCCAGCATTCAGCAGGAGGTCAGCCCCCCCCCCCCCGCCCCCGTGTCGCCTCCACTGGCAGGAGCCAGCAACTTCCGACTCCCCGCTTGTCCTCAGTGTTCCTGGGTTCTGCTTCTTCCGTCGGTCCCACGGGCTGCTGGTCCTCCAGGGAGGCCCGACCCACCGCAGCAGACCCAGCACTGCCTCTGACGGCGCCCACCCCACGGGGGACCCACGTGAAATGCAATGGCCTGTTGGTTACGTTTTCCAGTTTCTGACCTCGTGGTGCCCCCGTCCCTCCTGCTCTCTGGGGGAACTGGTCGGAAACTCAGATGGAGTCTTCTTGGGCTCTGAGTTGTTTCTCTGCCTCCCACACCAAGCCAGCTGGCGATTGTCTCTTGCTCCATGTCCAACGCCCGAAGGGGCCACGGCCAAGGTCCTGACACACTGTGACAGCCTCCCTCCCGCCCAAGTTGTCTGGCTACGGCCCGAGGGCCCAGGCCCAGAGGGGCCCCGGACCCGACCCGGGGCTGTGACCCTGGGAGCAAATGGCTCCGGTTTGCTCTTCCCCCTCCCCCTACCGCAGAAGCTGGCCCCGGGTCCCCCTCCTCTGACAACTGTAAAAGGGAGTCTCTAAGTCGAAGGCGCCCTCAATGATTTTCTGAGCTCAGCTCCAACCTGAGTAAGAAGCCACGTATGTGATATGTAAACCCAGAAGAGAAGAGGGTTTTTCCTCATGTGGTTGGTAGACGTGTGGACTGGCCACCTTTGTCGCTTCCCCAGGGGCAAGATGAGCATTGCCTCTCTTGCCCCTTCCTGCCCAGGCGCCACGACGAGCAATGGCCGTGGAAGAGGAGCCCAGCCCATGGGAGCCCCCCTCCCCCTCCCCCACCTCCGGCGACCCTGGACCTGCTCACGTGACCACTGGGCCTGGCAGGCGAAAGCCCAGGCTCAGCCCAGCCAGCCACTATTCTGAAGTCAGGGGCCTCCTCTTCCAGAGGCACCATCTACTGGGGGTGTCCTCCTGTAAGAGAAGCCCTCGGGTCCCAGGGGGATGTGTTTAAAGTCTCCCCAGTCCCCCTGAGCCTTCCCCCTCCCCACCCCAACTCTGAAGCCTTTGCCCCCAGCTTGCGGTGCACCTGGCTGTCCTGCCCGCAGAACCCTGCAGACACAGTCCGATGGGCTCTGTCATCGCACCCGCTCCCGGGGCGGCCACGGCACCGTGGATCCCAGCCACCCGGGTCAGCTGAAGAGAAGCTAAGCCACTGGAGGGGAAGGCTATTTTCCTCTGTATCTCTACTCAGGGACCCACTTGGTAGGTAGGACCGGCTCAGAGTGCACTCCTGCCGCCAAAAAGATGAAAAGATGTCTTGTAATGCAGTGCGAGAGCCAGGCCCCAGTCCTGCCCCTCTGCGCCGACCGCACCTGGTGGGCAGAATGCTAAAGACCACCCCCCCCAGCTCAAGATCCCCGTCCCCTGGTTATCTAGTCAAGCGCTAATCTAGGTACTACTGCCAGGGGATCTTGAAGATGTAATTAAAGGCCTGCTACAGACTAAACGTTTGCATTGTACCCCCCGCCCCGCCCCGTCAATATGGTGAAGCCCTAGCCCCCAGTGTGAGGGTGTTAGGAGGTGGGGCCGCTGGAAACTGCTTAGGGCTGGAAGAGGTCATGAGCATGGAGCCCTGACCTTGGGGTTGGTGCCTTTGGGAGAAGTGGAAAAACACCCCAGCGCTCCGTCCCTCTCTGCCAGGTAAGGATACAGCAACAAGGGGGCTGTCCATAAGCCAGGAAGCGGGGACCTCTCCAGGAACCTGGCCTTGGACTTGCGGTGATGCTGGTATAAACAACCCGCTGTGCTGCCCATCTTATCCACGTAAAGCACGCACACTTACGTATCGTATATAACAATAGTGATGGTAAGTGAGTATGCTACGGGTTTAGAT